TTTAAAGCTGTGATTAATCTGATTAAAAATTGTAATCGTTTGACAGCCCTAGTTTTAACCACACACATCTATACACACACACACACACACACACACACACACACACACACACACACACACACACACACACACGATTTAAACGCAGACTTTTGTTCCTCCATGTTTCGTTGTTATCGTTTCACTGAGCGGACCCGCCTCCTTTTTTTCAAACGCTCCCTTTTTGGTCCATCTGCGGCGGTAATAGGTTTTGTGAGCTGTGATGATTCGGCTGTACCTTTAGTAATGAATATGAAATGTTGTGAGGAAATCTTTCCACCAATAATTCCAATAAGTAATCCAAAATATATTCACTTCAGGTTTACGAAAGTAACTGTAATCAGATTACTCGTTTTTTCAAATGTAACGCGAGCTGAATACAGTTAGGCCTACTTGATTTTTGTATTCTGATTATGTAACGCCGTTACATGTATTCCGTTACAACCCAACCCTACATGTACAACACTTTGGCTGGACCAAAAATCGTTTGTAAAATGTGCTATATAAATAAAACCTGATTTGATTTGATTTGATTCCGTTATGCTACTTCTAGTCCACTGAAATATAAGCAACGCTGTATTTTTTTCTCCTCTACAAGTTAAGCAAGAAACCTGCACTGTTTTTTAGCTAATGCTTGACATACAGGTGATATAACATCTGTGTTAGGCTCAACCTATTTCCATGCAGTCCCTAACTGTCTGTGTTCAAAGAAAGGACAATTATTATTTTCTCTGTTTCTCAGGAAAAGAAAGCAAATGTGTGGTTTCTCTGATTCATGTTGGGTCGTTTCAAAACCGACTCACTTTTTACTTTGTCTTTACTCAGAAACGCATGTTAGGTTTCAGTCTGACAGCTTGTTGCTTTGAAGCAGCGTGTCGATGCTCACTTCCTTTTAGTCTTTTCCGTCTGTGTAGTATACTGACAGTAAAACACACCACAGAGCCTCTTCCTGGATACATTCAGAATCAGATTAACACTCTTACAACACTTTGAAGCACCTACTGCTTAATTATAGAGAAATTTAATAATTGATAAATAATAAATGCTTTTAAAATTATGTTATTTAGGTATTCAACCACTAACAAATAAAAAGTATAATAATCAACCATGTAAAAGTACAAAAAAGACTGTATAACTGAGATTTGAATCATCATTTTAAAGCAGATAGAAAAAAGTTTGATTTCTCATCTTGTCTCAAACATCTAACAACGCTATAATTCCTGGTGGCCATAAAAAAGCAAGCCAGACACCGTACAATTCTGTGTGGGACAGAGTAATATTCTAGTTGTGCGTCGGTGCAGACTCTGTGGCTCTCGGCGGTCGAATCACAGCATGAACACAACGGTCAGATTGTGTTTTATTTAGAGATTAGAGGCAGAGATGAGAGGAGCTGGAAACAACATCAAGGTCGTTTTGTCAAGAGACACACACACACACACACACACACACACACACACACACACACACACACACACCACACCATACCCACCTACCCACACACACCCAACACACCACCCACCCACACACACACACACACACACACCACACTCACACCTACACACCCACACACACAACACACACCACACACCACACACACACACACACCTACCACCCCTAATTTTCCCCTTCCTGTGCATCCGTTATACAAATTCTCTCTCTCTCTCTCTCTCTCTCTCTCTCTCTCTCGTTTTATCACCATGTCTATGGGTGTGTCTGTTGAGGAACATCACAAAGAGGAGCTGCACTGTATAACTTCACATTCACAGTAACAGAGAACATCACACACAGACAAGACAAATTCACCAAGAAGAAGAAACGTGTTCTTAATAATCTGTGTTTTCTTCCATTCTACGGTTTTATATTGAAAGCCTTATGGTCTTAAAGAGGCCCTATTATGCTCCCTTTCTCGGCTATACATGTATTTTGTTTCCCTTTATTTTTCTCATACTGCCTGTGCTGCAGCTCCTCTTTTCACCCTCTGTCTGAAACCAGAGCCCTGTCTGTTCTGATTGGTTAGCTGGCTGGCTCTGTTGTGATTGGTCAACCGCTTAGAGATGTATGTCTTGCGAAAGGGAATAACCCCTGCCTGAAATGCCTCCATTGTTTACTTCAGGAACAAAGTGACATCACTTCGTAACACTTGCGATTCTATTGGCTAGTGCTCCAACACATTGTACGTGACAGGCTAAGGGGCGGGACATCTCTAAGCCGTTGACCAATCACAACAGAGCCGGCCAGCTAACCAATCAGAGCACACTGGGCTCTGGTTTCAGACAGAGGGTGAAAAGAGGTGCTGCAGCACAGGCAGTATGAGAGAAATAAAGGGCTTTTTGAACCTGAAAGCATGGAGACATGTCAGAGTGGAGACACTACATACTGATATGAACCTGCAAAGGTTCAGGTTCAGGTTCAGGTTTGTACCCGTAGGTAGATTCTGTTTGCAGAGAAAAAGACAAGGGTTCCATCCTGACACTAAAAACAAACACAAACAACAGACACATCTCTAATAAAAGGACTAGTAAAAGTAAAGTATACCCTGCTCAACCAAATCTCAAAAATATTTGAAAAACATTTTAAGAAGGAAAACACTAGTACAAACATGGACATTCAAAATTCACAATTAAATAAATAAATAAAAATAGGCATCTGTGTGACACTCCTATGATTTATTAATTTGTGTTAACCGCATGAAAGGAGCATAATGTGTCCTCTTTAAGGATTCCTGAAAGACTCCATAGCTGTAAACAATTGCATCTGTCTGTGTGTGTTTGCTTAATTGGTGTTTTGGATCCAAAATAAGTATCACAATGCTCCCTCGTGTTTATACCAAGCACTGAGTTGTGACTTTGCTTCTGTTCTGCTTACTTGTTGAACTTTTATGACTAATTTTCTTAGACTTTACATAAATTACTTGTTGTGTGAGGGGTTGTATGGTTCAGCTTTTTGGCGGCACCAAAAAGCTGAAGTCCTCCCAGACCATGTTCCTCATATTAATGTGTTTACAATCCATCATAATATTGTCATGCTGAACTTTTATACCATAATAATTTGGTCTTTTCGTCGCACACACCATCCATCACCTGGAGAGAGTTCCCTCCTCTGTTGCTCTTTGGTCCATTAAAGGAGTTTTTATTGAGTCTGGGGGTAGAGAGTCATTTGCTGTAAAGACAGTGAAGCCTTATGAGGAAAATGGTGATATTAGAAGAAGAAGAAGAAGAAGAAGAAGAAGAAGAAGAAGAAGAAGAAGAAGAAGAAGAAGAAGAAGAAGAAGAAGAAGAAGAAGAAGAAGAAGAAGAAGAAGAAGAAGAAGAAGAAGAAGAAGAAGGAAGAAGAAAGAAGAAGAAGGAAGAAGAAGAAGAAAGAAGAAGAAGAAGAAGAAGAAGAAGAAGAAGAAGAAGAAGAAGAAGAAGAAGAAGAAGAAGAAGATGAAGAAGAAGAAGAAGAATTAGATGAAGAAGAAGAAGAGGAAGAAACACTTTATTAATCCCCGGAGATGTTTTCCCCCACTCTGTTGGTTTACACACATTACACACATTACACACACAGGGGAGGATATACATGCAGATAGGAGAGATGGCAGAGCAGAGAGGCTGCCAGGTACCCGGCGCCAAGGGAGCAGTTTCGAGGTTAGGTGCCTTGCTCAAGGGCACCTCGGCAGTGGCCTTGGAGGTGAACTGGTCCAATCGGGACGTGAACCGGCGACCCTTCGGTCAAGTCCCTACAGACTTCAGGGGTGAATCCTAAGATGAAGACTGTCCTCAAAGCTGCCCTCTCATCTGCTTTCGTGATCATTATCTCTCTCTCATGTGGAAACCCAAATTCCAGCTGGGCTATATTCGTCCTCTGAGGGCTTGAAAAAAGGCATGCTGGGAAAAGTGGAAAAGAGTAATTGAAGCAGAGATAAACCAGAAATTACAAACACTTCCTCCCAAAAAAAAAAAAAAAGGTCAGGAATGCCTACCCTTCACAGATAAGATCAACACTATATAATCAGTTACCTTCAAACACCCAAAGAAATGTTCCCAGTCTGCGTTTCTGTTCCTGACGAGACTGCAATTATATTATCAGAGGTCTTTACTGCCTGCCTGTCTTAGAATGTACTTTAAAATGCTGATGTGTAAAGCACTGAATGGTTTAGTGCCAAAATCAGTCTGTCTTCAGTAAAACAGGTTGAAGAAGTATTCCAATCCTTTACGTCACTGTAAAAATACTCCATTACAAGTAAAAGTGCTGTTAGTACTTTAGTAAATGCATTTATGTATGATCAGGAGATTATACTAAAAGTATTAGGAGTAAACAATACTTGTTTGTGACATACATATTTTTAAAAATCTGAGTATTTACAAGAAAATGCAGGAAATCTTGACGTTTTAGAAGTTGGAACTGTATACAAAAAAAGATCGGGAGCACCATGAGATATTTGACTCTTAATCCAGTTTGTGCATGATGGTTAGGATTCATATCTGAGAAAATGCACACAGTGTCTCCATTAGATCTTGGGGCAAAACACTTCTGACGTCCTGCAGTAACACACAGACACACCCCCAGGTAAATGGAAATCATGACGAAAGTGCAAATGCTGCACTGAACAATCTATTCCTTGTACGCCCAGGTAAAAACACAACATTGAACCTGTCAGAGCATCCCATGACATTTGTCTTTAGGGCGGTGGCCATGTTTGTCTGAGTCTTATATTTAAGTTGCCATCAGCCTCTCATTCACAGCAGTAACAGAGGTGGTTTGAGGAACCGTAATGAGCAGGGCTTGTTGACGAGAGGGTGGAGTATCCCTCTGGAAAACAAACAGGTTGTGAAGTGGTGCTGTGAGGAGGAGGGAGGCTAGCAGACGAGAGCCTCTCCACGTCTGGGTCTTCCTGTCGAGGGTTAATCGTGTCTGTGTGGGGCCCACATGGGTTTCTTAAAAGCAGGCACTTCACGGTGAGTGAGTCCACCTACTTATGTTTCTGTCTAATCATATGCAACTTGTGTATGTGAGGTGCGTTGAAGCGGATTTCCCCCTTACTCTGCTTCACGGAGACGTTGTGGTTCTCTGGAACGGCTATGACGTTGAAAGACTCAGTGACAGGTTTCCTTTCACTTTGCACTAAATGACCTTTAGAGAATAATGAGAGCATTGTATGTGAGAAGTTTGATCATCTGTTCATAACAAGAACAAGCTCTGCAGTTAAATAACATTTCTGTTTAAAGGCCTACATCTACGGTGGCCGACAGGTGCAATATGCCCAAAACACTTACATTAGGAGAACCGGGCTTCCGTTTAAAAAACACAAATGTGCCAAAACACATCTTTGTGTTCAACAACTTGAAGAAACATGCGCAGAGTTTACTAAAAGCTCTGCATACAGTACAGGAAAAGCTGCAAATGTAATACAATAATAATATATAATAATATAATTAAATGATATGTTGGATGTCCTCCCAACAGTTCTAATTATTTGCCATGGAGAAAATAATAGTTGTAGCTAAAATCAAATAGTTGTGTGCTGCTATGTCAATGGGTTATATCATATATCAACATCATAATGAGAGACAGGAATATTGTAATATCACTCTGCATGCATCAGATCCAGAGTGATTCAGGATGAAATCACTGATGCTTCAGTCTGAACCCACAGTGAGGCAGAGCTGTGATGATGTTTACTCTGCCCCACTCTGAGGAACACTGCCACCATTCATCCAGTGCCAGCACACTGAGGGGCTGCTGGGAGACTGGACACACACACACACACACACACACACACACACACACACACACACACACACACACACACACACACACACACTAAATGGCAGTCTTCTTACAGTTTATTTATTTATCAAGCAACCAAACTAATTGATTGATGCACGGCGGTGAGTTTTCTGCACCTTTCCACAGAGTCTGAGTTGCGTTACTGACTGTGTGTGTGAGTCATGCAGTTTGTATACATTAACCCTCCCATAGACTTGTCACCTTTCAGAGGTGCATGCTGGGATATGCATCCTGATCAGGGTTGGGCGGGTTTCTTTAAAGTGTTATTATTAATATGTAAAAACCTAGTAACCTAATCTGAGTATCACAAAATGCAACCTGATTACATGCCGTTACTTTTTCCATTAAACAAAGAAGAAACAACAATAAGAACTTTTACTTAATTATGTTGGACAGAAGAACAATTTAACCTTAGCAAAGAAGAAACTAAGATATTGAGGATTAAAAATGATCTTATATCAATGGGAAAACCTTAAATATTATTTTTTTTGTTCTAATGTTGGTCCTTGGGCCACAATAATCAATAGGTGAAAATCTGATAATGTGACCTAGAGATGTCCCTTTTCTACCAGTGACCCTCAACAGGTAGTGTTAGAGAACACACACACACACACACACACACACACACACACACACACACACACACACACACACACACACACACACACACACAAAGGGGAGTCTGTACCTGGGAGGATGTGGCGGTAAAGTCGACGAGAGCGAGGTGTTCTGAGAACTACAGGAAGTCTAAAACAAGAGTCTAAAGAGAAACACATGATGCCAGAAACTGCAACACAAGAGGGGCAAAACCCTGCTGTAAAACCACTAACACATTCTTTAAAATATCTCAATTTACACATGGAATAATACTTCATGACCGATTCTCAAAATGATCATAACATCCCACATTTAAGCACATACTGTAGTGATGTTGAATTTGAAAATAAAGGAAGTGTCATGTGATTTACTTCAAATAAACAAAGTGGACTAAACTAACCTCTTGTTGCCTTACAGGTCTGGAAACGGAAGAGAAAAGTGCAGCAGTGCCACCTTGTGGACAGATGTGGTGTTACGTGAAATTAAAGACATATTTTTGAATTTATGACATTGATGCCATGTAGATCATGAACACATAGGATTGATCTACGAAAGGAAGAGTTGATCCAATGTGACTGCTTTTAAGTGGGTGGTCCGTATACACTTATCTAAAGAGATTATCTTTGTGTGTGTACAATTATATGGTTCTTTTGTGCCGCTAAGTTCCAAAAATAGCAAATCTAAAATTGCTGATATTGAAGGAAATCAAACTATTAAGGGACTCTCATAACATTAAAGTTGACCTTTTAAGTTTTGGCACAATTCTCAGGGTAAAAGCCAGTAAAAATCTAACTTGCATAAGATACATAAGGACAAAAAAACGTTTGTACCAATCAATGTGTTACCAATAGTGAAGAAAGGCCTTGAGCATTATCATATCTGTATTGCAGGAGACAGAAATCGATGCATATATTTAAAAATACTGCTTATGTGAGTTTCCATCTTTTCCTTCCTTCTACTGTATTATCTTTAAGGTTGTAACATTTCTTTAGCATTATAAATTGACTTTATAGTGATCATAAATGATATACCATACTAGCATTTCCATGGATTTTCCGCAAAAGCAATGGTTCCTCACTTAAGGAACTTAACTCTTCTTGTTCTTGTTCTTCCTATTCTTGCAGGTCTTAGTGAGATGAAGGGAGATGAAATGGAGGCAGACAGGAGACAGATGGGGAGAGGTGCTGTAGCAGACGGTGAGGACATGAAGACTTGTCCTAATGTTCATGAGAAACTTAAGTAAACCAATTAACACACAGACGGCTGCGATGTGTTTCCTCGCTCTGCAGCCTCATCTATCAATCCCCGAAATATTCCCTGCTGGAAGCTTTCCAATGAAGCCACTTGGGGAAAGGTAAGCAGTGCAAATGGACACTGATTGAAGTCACTTTGGATAAATGGGTCAGCTGATTGAAACATAATGTGACACTGATCAATACAAACGATGATATGCTGCATGATAGAGGTGAGCAGAGATCATTGTGATTACTGTAAAGGCTCTCCCTCCCTGCAACTGCCATAAACAAACACAAATCTGCCCCTTTAGAAGTGGCCATTCAGGGTTTGAGCTGCATTTACAGGCTTACCTGGAAACTACTAATAAAAAGAATGCAATAATGGATGCATTAGTATATACATTATACACTTTTATGGGGGACATTCAGATTGTTTACATGCTGCTCTTATTATTTAGCCACCAGCTGCCACATGATATGAAATAAGGTTATTGTTCAACCCCTAAAGTGATATATAACATATATATTTATTATATGGAAGACTATATTCATATTTGCACAGTTAAAAATGTTGTTAGAACCTTAACTGAGAGGCATTTTCTCTGTCATTCATCTTTTTTACAAGCCTTTTTTTGTTGATTAATTCCTCGTTGGGTTGCTTTGATGCCGTTCAGCTTCTTCCAGCTTTAGTTGTCTTTTCATTACTTTACCCTCACTCCTGCTGACCTTCTTGCAGACAGCAGCAGGTGCAGCATGCCGTGTATCAGGCCTCAGTATTTAGGAAAGTTAATCTGTAAATCAGATTGGGTTCCTCTCCTCAGACAAATATCTGACTTTAAATCACGTCTTCAAGTGAAAATCCACCGCACCATATGGACCATCTCCCCCCCCCGACTGTAAAATCACGACTCCTCCTGACGATAAGAGGATAAAGCTTCAGTCTGTGTGTGTGTGTGGCCTAGCATTACTATACTTGTGGGGACCTAAATCTGTTCACACAGTCACGTGTGGGGACTCGCCGCCCTTATGGGGACAAAATGGAGGTCCCCATGAGGGGAATCATTAATTTTAGGGTGAAGACTTGGTTAGGGTTAGGGTTAGGCATGTGTTGGTTATGGTTAAGGTTAGGATAAGTCTCCAGGAAATGCATGTAAGTCAATGTAATGTCCCCTGAAGTGATGTGTGTGTGTGTGTGTGTGTGTGTGTGTGTGTGTGTGTGTGTGTGTGTGTGTGGTGTGTGTGTGTGTGTGTGTGTGTGTGTGTGTGTGTGTGTGTGTGTGTGTGGTGTGTGTGTGTGTGTGTGTGTGTGTGTGTGTGTGTGTGTGTGTGTGTGTGTGTGTGTGTGTGTGTGTGTGTGTGTGTGTGTGTGTGTGTGTGTGTGTGTGGCTGAGTTTTAATCTATTTGTGCGTCCTGCTCTATTTGTTTAGCAGGTCAGTGTGCAGAGCGAGGCCACCGAGGACACACTGCTCTGCTTCAGGCAGGTTGCGAGCTTTCTGTTTTTATTCTGTGAATAAGGAGGAAGAATGGCGGCGATGTTTCGATCATCCTCTCTGGAAAACACTGAAGAAATGTCTCTGTTGGAACGGGAAAAAGACAATTACTTTGTCACAGATGAGGACTGTCGCGGTGAGGTGAGGCTTTCAAAACGACATGTTAATATTGAAAGCTCTACAAGACTTTTGCAAGATTTGTAGTAAAGCAAGCTCAAGATTCAAAAAGACGTTATTGTTATACAGTATGTGCCAGGCTCCTCTAACAATGCAACATTAATCTACATAGGACATAAAACAATAGAAATAGTGCAAGAATATAAGAGAATATTGCAAGTCAAAAATATGCAAGTTAATGTAGAAATAAGTCAACTACATACAATAAAAACACAATGCTTGTGTGGAATGAAAAAAACGCTTATTGTAATAATACATGTAAATGTGAGCTGTAAACGTATATATAAACAGATGAAGGTGTTCAGCTGATCATATTGATTTTATTTATGATGAAGCTACCTAACCCTATGAACTTTTTTCCAACTTCTACAGTGAGTTTTATTGTAGCGCTTATGGGTTGGAGGTAAAATGGAATAGGTGCATGTTTAAGTTACGCTACAATACAGAACAGTTTTATAGTTGAAGGTATACTTTTTATTTTATTTATACATTTTGTTGCAGTGGTTGAAAGTGATGCAGTATATAATGTTTAGTACAAGGCACTAGAGACCTTTGTCGTGCAGTTACAGAAATAAAATACGATTTGTTTGCTTGATTCTATTCATATGTATTGAAAAGAAAAGACGAGACAGAAATCCCCTCGTTTGCTTCCTTTTGTTAACCCTCATCCTCACCCCTCTTGCCTTTTGAGTTCTTTGAAATGTAACCGCACGTGTTGCATGAAATCAATGCAATGCATGCACTGTTTGATTACAGGTTGTCAGTTATTAAAGGTAGAGATTTTCTTTAGCCGTTTACGATTATTTAATACCCCTCCCATTATTAGTCAAGCCATATTCAAAGATGCCCCATTCTGCTTTTTTCTGTTCTCCCTCTCCTGTAGTGGGTCATTTTAGGTTTGTGTGCATGTAATTGTAAATGGTCTGTAAAGGCTAAAATCCCTGTGTTCCCTCCAGAGGGAGTTTCTCTCCCACACACTCCACCTGCCTGAAACGCCTCCATTAGACTCCTTTGTTTTCTTCTGTAACATAGTGACATCACTATTTATAACATGGTTGGCCAATCACAACAGAGCAAAGCAGCTGACCAATCAGAGCAGACTGGGCTCTGGTTTCAGACAGAGGGTGAAAAGAGGTGCTGCAGTATGAGAAAAGAGCTTTTTGAACATTAGAGCATGGAGACATGTCACAGTAGAGACACTACATACTGATATGAACCTGAAAATGAGCAGAATATGTCTTCTTTAACAGTAAGTCTGTTATTTGTTTATCCAAATTAGATGTTTACCAGAGTGAAAAGACACATTTTCAACTCTAATTGGATGATTACACTAATTAATCCAACAGCAAAGTGTTAATCCAGTACTGTTTATTGTTGAGATAACATCTGCAAAATGTCGACAACTTCCTCTTTTTGACTTTTTTGTGGGGTGTCTGTGTGAGTTAGTACTTGTCCGCTGCGAGGGTCCAAGGACAGAAGGTTGCTGTTGTCACTGTAAAGCCCTCTGAGACTAATGTAAACATTGATCGATCGATTGTTTCTGACCTTTCAGGAGTTTGATCAGGATTCAGTGTGCAGCGAGGAGGGGAGAGGGGGCCGGAGCATCCGCAGGTCTCTGTTTGTGGAGATCTACGGTTTGCAAAGGGAGCCGCACATCTACTTCTCAAACCAGGAGTACTACAAGAGGCTGGAGGAGCTGAAGAGCGCACACCTGAAGAACATGGCCGAGCTGGAGAGGATGTACATCGGCCAGCATAGGGAGAGTCCTGCAGAGGAGGGAGAGGATGGAGGAAGAACCAACAGAGAGGACATGCTGTCTATCAGGTTAGACCTTTTTGACTTTTTTAGTCACTTTGGCGTTACACTGAAATTTAGCCATTGAGTTGATGTTATGTATAACTACAGAATTAAAACGTTTCAAACAAATATAGCCCAGTTTAGACACATCCAGATGTATGTTTTCACTTGCTATTTACCAAGAATGATGCTTACTGTGCAGCTTTGTGTCATGGCCTCAGAGAGGATTTAATATGGGTGGGAATTTCATTAGCAACATTTGATCTGAGTGCAGGCAGCAAGTAAAATTAATTGATTGGATGGCTGATATATTCTACTGTGGGGCGAGGAACAATGTATCATGAATTATTGATTATATTTATATTATATATATATTATACTCTCCGAAGCTTTCTTTAAAATCATAAAGCGAATGCACTTACAGTATAATGTGAAGATAAAGTAAACCCTGTAAATACACTTCTCCTTTTAACCCATTGTTACCTGAAGGTGGCAATATTGAGTTTCAATACAGTTGTCAGTGAACAGACACATCTAAACAGGCATCCATTTGATAATGTGTTTATTAGGCCTCCATTTTATGTAATGAGTGTGTTTTTAAGGTCAAAGGTCAAGATGGTGACTCGGCATCAAAAACAAAAAATGTACCTATAAAACCTATTTAACAATGTTCAATCCAACACTTTAGTGCATGTTTGATATTTTATTGATGTAGTAGTACTTTTCAGGCAGTCTGAGACTTTGTTTCGGAAGTTATTTTGGAGTCAAGTGGCAGGAGAATTAATGCCTCCTCCTTCCTGATAATCAAGCAGTGGCCCTATCAGGAAACTCCAGAGGATCAATTCCCAGGAGGAGCTGGACTTCCACGACTCATCGAGCGGTTCGGACCAATCAGAGCTTTACGGAGCGAGCAGCACGGGGGATCTGGAGCTGCAAAACCCCAGATCAGCTGGCCAGGACCGAACCTTTGAGAGGTTGGTGAAGTATACACAGACAAATCCTCAAATCTGGGGATTCTAGGGGGGAAAACGTAGATTTAGTCCAGTTGCCAGCTCATAGAGTCCTATTGTGAACCCGGAAATGTTGAGTACCCCAAAGTTTTATGTTAGAAATGCATAGTCTGGGTCCCCGGCATTTAGAAACTGCCAAATGTTAACTTGCATATGTTGGGCAATTAGCATTAATGTCATTATTTAGCAGTAATAACCACTATGGCCTATATGGTTAAAAAATGGCTTGGCCAACTTGACAATATTGGACTGATTTTGTGGTTAATTGATGATGCTGTATCCATTTCGGACCTTTTAAGGATTGTGAATGGCAGTTTTAACTCGAAAGTGGCCATATATCAACTCCTGGCTGATTTTGATTGAAGTTTATAATAATAATAATAATAATAATAGATTTAATCTGTTAGCGCTTTTACAGGTGCTCAAAGACGCTTTACAGATATAGTGAAGGGAAAGGAAAAGGAAGGAACAACAAATAAATATATAGTTAAAGTTAAAGTTAAATAATACAAAAACAATCACACACAATCACATAAGGACACTTGATCGACTGGATTACCCATCCTCAATAACCCTAAAATCACTTGAATATTGTCCAAATCGGCCAAGACATTTTGAACTTAATTGTGCAAATTGCCCAACATGCAAGTTAGCATCCGGCAGTTTCTATGTGCTGTGGACCCATACTAAACTTTTCTCACATAAATCTTTGGTTTACTCACATTTTTGGGTTTTTTAAAGCGGGCCAGAAGACCAATAAGAAGATTTGTTTTGCACTTTTTTTTGTGTTAAGGTTTCCAGATTGATTGCGAGCATTAACCCGTTAACATTGATAGCTTTATTTATAAGACAAGATAGTACTAAAAGGGGTGGAAAGTAAATCCTTTCAGTCTTCTAATTGATACTTTGCTGTCATTTTAGATACATTATCACATTTCACTCTCTTCCCTCTTCTCCCAGAGACTTCCTACTGAGCCCAGAAGAAATGACGACCCAGAAGCAGTTTCGGTTTAAGCCCAAGGCCTCCTGTCTGAAACCAAAGGGGAGAATTTCACGTCCAACTGGGGTCAGGGTCAGGTCCAACTTCAACGTCACCGTGCCCAAACCCTTCGAGATGATGCTGAGAGAGGAGGAGAGGAAGAGGCACAAGGTGCGCACTCGCTCGGAGATCCAGCTGGAGAACACTTTGCTGAAACGGGAGCTTGAGGAGCTCCAAGAGTGCCAGAAAAAGTTCAGGGCGTCACCAGCACCGGCGCACATCCATCAGCCGCTCTACGAAGTGATCAGCCGTCGTCCCAGCCAGCGATCCACCCGCAGCAAAGGAAGCAGAAAGAACACGAACAGAAACCAGAGCATTGCCGATGCTTCTCCACAGCCTTTCCATTTCCTGGAGAGGGAGAGGACGAAGAGGGAGGCGAAGATTGTTGCAGAGCTGGGGAACCTGGGGCTGAAAGAGGAACGACAGGCCTTTAAGGCGAGACCCATGCCCAGCTCGGTGTATGGAAGCAAACACAAGGCGAACATCAAGACCACAAGCCACCAGTTTACAGACATCTGCACACATCTGCACACGGAGGGTCAAAGGGACCCAAACTCTGAAGCCTCTCCTGACTCCTGTAAGCCTCAGACATGGCCGTCCTCAAAGCCAGTGAAGAAGCAGATAGAGGTTTCCATTGAGATGGTGAAAGGAGAGGGAGTGGTGTCAGATTGACTCGCTTAAAGCCAAAAACATGTAGTGACCTCTGCAGCCAGGGACGGCTGAGCGCGTTAGGACGGACTGTATCACTATCATAGACTGTGTTCATAAATATAAGACATAATGGGGGGGCTGATTATAGGTTATTATTTATTTTGCATGTTGTAGCTGACAAAGTGGAATGACACATTGCACTGTTTCCCTAAAGATGGGATCAATTATTACTGTCATCTTCTTCTTCTGTAAAATGTGTCAATGTAAAAATCTGTCATTAAAATGATGTACACTTTCCCCTTGATAAAATAAGTCATGTGGGCTCTTTTGTTGGTTAGTTTTATGAACTGGTTCGCACTAAATCCTAACATGTAAACTGTTGAATTTATCATAAGTGTATGCTCCTCCTTGATCATAAAACCCACCCTTAAATCCCTTTATGCATAATTACGCGCTGACTCGGCAGATTCAGACACATACAGTGACAATCATAACCCCACTGGGACCGGAGCGGCTTTTCCTCTCTGCTGTGTACAGTCGGCAGTACATCCTCGTATCGGCATTGGCATCCACTCTTCTACAACAGTAAGTGGACACGAACTGCGTGGCTTCACTTGCTTTTCAATTTAGCAAACATCTGGGTATATCCTCACGGTTGATGGCACTTGTTTAAGTAGTTTTGGGTTTTAAAAATTCGGATAACTGAAATGCAATGCAATTAGTGGGAACATAGCTTAGAGGTCCTGGTTTTGTAATAGTCTGGTACTTGTGGGTAAGAGTGCGGTGCGGTCACCGCTCGTAACTTTAAGGGGGGTCAATTTATCGTAAAGCACCTGACACCTGATGGCACCACCCAGCGCCTTAGATGGTCCTGTATGAAAATCACGCCACCGAAGACGAATAAACAGCCATATTACGCCGTTTCATATCTCTCTGCCGACAGACAGTACAGACAGAGAGCTGCTACTGCGGTCAAGCCAGTCTCCACTCGGGAAAACCTAGTCAAGCCAGCCCGCACGTGATGTTGCGGTGCACGAATATCCTATGCATTACGGTAGAGTCCTGGAAACACTGCCTTCAAAATAAACGCGCTTACTCGGTCAATAACAAATACACCTAAATAACATAACAAACATATTAAATTAAGAAATATGTACTTTATAATGTGATCATTAATTATTTAAAACAAACTAGGCTCTTCACATTATAAATGAGTGAATGTAAAACTTAAGGAGTTTCAAAATAAAAGACCTTTGAAGTCAATGAGCTATCATCCCTCTGTTTTTAGATAAGAATAAAACAAGAACTCTCCAGTATCAAATACTCATTTCACTCCAGGGTGATAGCAGTACACCCCATTTAGTCACTCAGAAAAAATCAGGACATTCTGATGTAGAGTTTCAAAATAAAATACCTTAGAAATCTCTATTGTATGAGCTATCATCCCTCTGTATTTAGATAAGAATAAAACAAAAACAGGTGGACTTTTAATTATAATGCTAACGTCATGGATAAGGCTTCAAACTATTCTGAACAGCCCTGCAGTAGTTGAGAACTGCACTGTAACAAATTACTGTAAAAATATGGATAATTTCTATCTATTTATATATCTATATATTTAATGGTGTACATTTGAAGCTCAATTAACAGCCTATTACAAACTACCAGATGGTAACAATTGGAACAGCATCAGCAATCATGGGAAGAATTTGTGAAGCAGAGTAAGCACCAAGGATAGAGCGCCGATGCTGTAAACAACATAAACTTGAATCCTTTCCAAATTAATGTATGATAGATGAGAAAATGCTTACCTAAAAAAATGACATGTTATCATCTTGTCTGTTTCACCAATTTGTGTGTATTTATTTGTTCAAGATGATATGATTATTAAAGTTCAGAAGTATAGTATGGGGCCTTGTGACTGTCTGTGCCCACTCCAATTTAAAAGCCTTTCTGTATTTCAGAAAAGGAAAAATACAAAAACACAGAAATATAAAAAAATAAAATATAAGACGAATACGCTGACACCCACTGCGATCAGTAAAAGACAGAACATGTTTTTCTTGATGTAGACTCGTATAATAATAATAATAATATTAACAATAACCTTTATTTGTATAGCACCTTTCATACAGGAGTTGCAGTCCAAAGTGCTTCACAGTCTCATAAGATAGAGTTTAAGAAAATGGATGTCAAATAAAATACAGTTAACAAGAACATTGATATCACATATGAAAGGGTTAAAAGACATACAAATATAAATAAAATTAGCATAGAATAGACAATGAGTAAAAAATAGATTCAAAATTCAGGATAATAAAAGAAAACCAAGTAGCTATCTAAAGCTTTAGCTTTTTCTTGAATATTTAGACCGAGCAGGCTTCCCAGATGTCTAACGGTATCGTGTTCCACAGCTTTGGGGCATAATTAACGAAGGCCGCATGACCAATTTTCTTATTTCTGCCTCTGTTTAATTGTTAAGTAGGAAACATTTAAACAGCTGACACAACAACTTGTCCAAGGCGCTTGAGGCAAAATAGGCAATGATGAAGGCTTAACAATTAATTTGATGTAGACAGGTTCATATTATTATCAGTGATACTAAAAATATTGTAAATGTTCTTGTACTGTAAGTGTAGTGTATCAAATACACATATATTTGTTGCAAGTGTATTTAAGAATAGGAAGTTAACATATCATATCAGTGCCCCTAAAGATATATCTAATGGTATATGTCAGGACATAAGGCGGAGTATGTAGTTATGTACATATGACAAAACACTTTTCAATCTTTTAATTTTTTTTAAAAACTATGGGTGTGGAGTCCCTCCAGTTCCTACAATGCACTATCTTCCATGAGCTGAAAGCATAGACTACAACTCGTCATCCCTGGCCGGCAGATAACTCCCAGCACCATACATTGTTTGATCCGTCTGCTACATTGTACTTACATCGTGTGCATACTTTTGAGAATTTTAAATGTATTCTTGTCTGTTCTATAGTGTGCATTTAGATGTAGATACTCTTATTTTACAGTGAATATGGATATTTTTGCTTTAACCTTTATTTGTCTTCTATTTTACACTATATTTTTTCTAACTTCTTTTCCGGGTGATAGCTCATATATGAGACTTCAAAGGTCTTTTATTTTGAAACTGTACATCAGATTGTCATGATTTTCTCTGAGTGACTAGATGGGGTGTCCTGCTATCACCCTGAAGTGATATTAGTATTTGACAATGGACAGTTTTTGTTTTATTCTCATCTAAAAACAGAGGGATGATAGCTCATATATGAGACTTCAAAGATCTTTTATTTTGAAACTCTACATCAGATTGTCATGATTTTTATCTGAGTGACTAGATGGGGTGTGCTGCTATCACCCTGAAGTGAAATAAGTATTTGATACTGGAGGGTTTTTGTTTTATTCTTATCTAAAAACAGAGTGATGATAGCTCATATATGAGACTTCAAAGTATTTATTTTGAAACTCTCTAAGTTTTACATTCACTCAGTTATAATGTGGTCGTTATACGTAGTTTGTCTTACATTATTATTGACCACATTAGGCAGATATTATATTGTACATATTTTAATATGTTTGGTATAATTGTTATTGACCGAGTAAGCCCTTGTATTTTGAAGGCAGTTTTTCCAGGCCGCTACCGTAATGCATAGGATATTCGCGCACCGCAAAACAACGCGGATGCTGGCTTGACTGTGTTTTCTGAAGTGGAGGCTGGCTTGACCGCAGTGAGCTGCTGGATAACAAGTATTGCGTGTGTTATTTTCAGAACGACGTGGGGATGGCAATGCAGATCGTGCTCCTGTTGATTGTCTCCACATGTAAGTATCTACACGTTTTTTCTACAGAGCATTAAGAGTAGGCTAGTTATTATTACTTGCATCGGTATTTCTACACCACCGGCTATAAACCACCACATGGTAAACGCTACTGTACTAGGCTACACATCAGTGGCAAACCGCACTTAAGTGCAGCGGCCTTGAGTTCATGAATGAGACTGTGGTTGGTTTATAAATCGGTAATAACAACATTACAGCAGAGGTTATGTTATCTAATGAGAAAGTGAAGTGAAATATGGTTATCATTAGGACAGATGATTTAAAATGCCTCTGGAATGCACGACGCAATGACAGCTCTTTGATGAGGAAATCAACGTAAATGTAAATAAGCCATCTGTATGTCAAATATGTCTTATATGTCTTAAATGACATGATGAATTGGAAATGGGGGACCCTGATGTAAACAAGACGAAAGTCTTTCTCTGGTCTGCATCCCCTTAACAATTGTATGTTTTGAGCTGTACTGTACTGTACCCAATATACAAGCTGTTAATAAACTTTTCAATCAATCAATCAATCAATCAATCAATCAATCAATCAATCAATCAATCAAACGCTCTCCTGCTACTCCTCAAAGCTACCGTGAATGTGTAAATCCTAGCCCATACTGTAAAGATTACAACTTGCTTGAATGCTGAATAAACACTTCCGCATTCATTACATTACATTTATATATACAGTCTATGTACATTACATTGCATTTAGCTGACGCTTTTATCCAAAGCGACTACACAATAATTGCATTCCACCAACAAGATACAAACTTGAGGAAAACAGAATCATAGAAGTACATCAGGTTTTAGAGCTAAAACATTTCAAGTGCTACGTCCTCAACTGGCTTTAGATAAGCCAGTCCTTTATTAGTATATAAGTAGCCTACGTTGTTAGCAATTCTTTGTTAGTAATTCTATCGCTTGAAGTGGAGTCGAAAGAGATGAGTTTTCGTTCATTAATTTGAGTTCTTGTGTGCATACTGTATGTGTGGGTGTGTGTTGCATGTAAATCAGAAAAAGAAACACACACACACACACAGTCTGTATCCTAACAGATCTATTGGTGGCTGGGTAAAAACTGCAAAAGCTCACCACATCATCATCATCTTGCCAAAAATATGTAAAAAGTAGAAATTAGTAGTACAATTCTTCAACTTGAGTCTGATTCTGTCATAGAATACTTTTGCTGTGCTACTTTATACTTCCACTCTTCTACAATTGACATGTTACTTGTTAGAGGCTTTTACCCAAAGCGAGCTAAATACAGCCAATACTGTGGGCAATCCCCATAGGAGTGAGTCCCAAGAACTCAGCAGCATGCTGACCGTATTGAGCCACAACCATAACATTTGGCAGCAAGTATTGTACTGTTTACTCCCCCACATGTATTTAACAACTTTAGCTACTATTAGCTTTCAGGATCATGTTATTCATACACAAATTAAATTGACT